AATGCAAAGTGTACCAGTTAAGCTTCCGCTCAAGAATTTCGCGATGGGACCCTTTTTTATACGGCAGTGATACACACAGTCCTGTTCAGTTGTTTGGATATTTCAGAAATTTTTGAACCGGTGTGATAATGATCACTCAAACCCGTTAATCTGAATGATCCCTGTCTGGTAACTGATCTTACGGATTGGAATCCGGATAAGTGTTGAAGGTCCTCTGGCAAGCTTTGATTGGAATGAGCTTCAGTCACTCCTGACCAGTGTGTTGCATAGGTTCCTGAGATCTAAGCGTACTTCATTTTTGTTTTAATTCCTGGAAAACTAATATGCTAGCAAGGCCATTAACTCGGCTTGTAGAGTAAGCTACGTACATCTGTTACACCACAAGGATTGCTTTCCGATTTTTGGTGTGACTAGAGAGACGTTATTTAAGATTGTTTCACCAGCGATATATTTTAATGTATCTGAATGTCCCTCAGCCACCAGTTCAGCCCAATCTCTGAGCCATTCCTGTTAAGACACGTTTTCACAATTTGGTCTTACATCACAGACAGGATCGCGTAGTATCCTACTGTAAGTGCTCGAAAAAGAAAGGCTTAAACAGCATAACCATCGGTTACTGGTGCTTAGAGATGTCTTTATCTGACAGTTTTCTGAGAATGACTAGTGATCACTTAAGATATGATCCAGTTTCGACGATTGGCCCCACCTACTGTTGTCTCCAGTGTTCTCAGTCGTTGCAGCTCTTCCGATTGTTTGTGGCAGCTTTTGATCAATTAGGCTAAGAGAGGGAGCAGTGAAGTTTCAAGTTATAGTGATTTGGTTGTAGTCAAGATTCAGTGTCTCCATGGTGGTACAGAGTAGCGGCTGATTGTGTCATGTTGCATGGAGTGATGCTAGACAAATATCACTCAATAAAACGTTTGGTTAGGTCTATGGTGAAATATAACCTACAATGCCCCTAGTATTTCCCATATGGTTCCTAGTTATCCATATTCGCTTGATAAAGAAATATTTTGAGACTACGTCAGTGCATTTAATATGGTTTAAGTGTTCAGTGAATGCTAATCACAATGGGCTTATTAATTTGGTGACACTTCTGTCATATCTCCGAAAATACGGCTTGCAGAGCTTCAAATCTACGTCCCTTCCCCTGAATTTCATAGAAATCTGATCAACAGCCGTGATGTGACAGAGGATTTAGCTAGTGAGATAAACTGATATCAAAGCTCAGATGGTTCTGCAATGATTTTATAACCTTATAGTGGGGTTCAAACGAGTGACATCTAAATGAACAGATACGTAGGTAAGTTTAAGTTCTGCTCCATTACATGAAGTGGAGATTATACACGTGAGGGTCTTCCATTACCACTGCTATCAGATAAAAATAAATTTGGCTAATCTAAGTACCCTTCAAGTGAGAAGTTCGAAAGTTATTTGATAACTTCAACACCTCACTTTCTGAAGATTTTCTAATTTCTATACGCCATTGCTGGTAGTAGTAGATTGGAGGCAATAGGTAGGAATCCTTGGAACTAGGTTTCGTGCTAGTCGGCGCTGGTCAGCAGGGCGTATCTACAACTTTGGAGGAACTCATGTCCCTTCTGAGGTCCAAACTAGTGTCACCCAGTGCTGCAGTCAGAGAAGTTACTACTGCTAATCTGACTGGTTGCATTCAGTCTTCACTGAAAACTTAGGACTAGACACATTACAGCAGTTACTGACTTGTGTTCAATCAACATATACACCATGTTTACGACACGTGCTTGAAGCTCATATGCAGCTTAATATTCTTCTGAGAAAATTCATGGAGCATATTAAGACAAAGTTTCGTATCCCACTTCGTTTCCTAAGCTATACCCATAAACAGTTTTGTAGCTGAACTATACAAGTCTTTGTTGGTCATTGGAACCCATAGATCGAGCGGTATCGCGGATTGGCTTGCCTAATTGTTTTCATCTTATGTTAATCTTAAATGAACAGGCTGCACGCATTTTCGTCGGTATTTTCAGGGCTTTCTTAAAAAAAGTCTATCGTTCACATCATATAATGCCCTTTAGGAGTTGAAACCATATCAGACAGAACGACTTAGTTTTCGGAAGTGTCTCACTTATAGACAGTAGTGGCAGTAAGAAGTACCGACCTGCACCAACCTTTACAGCCTATCAAATGTGAAAAACTCTGCTAGCCCGTAAGAACATGTGCTTCAGCTCAGGCTGTGAGTGGTTGTCTTATTAAATTCTAAATTATTTAAAAGTACGTGTAAAATCCATAGAATTGGCAGTTTATAGATGGGTTCATATTCCTTCACAAGGCGCCAACCACCGGTGATTTAACTGTTAGAATAAAACTAAGGACGCACATTCGGGCCACTAAACACACTGTTACATTATATTTGGCCGTTAATTCGAGATCTCCAGCTGGCATTTCAGCTTGTCAAGGTCGATCACAAATTAAGATCGCAACTAGATCCACGAATTTTTGTTTTTGATTTATCTTGATGACTATTTCTAGCGTCACTCAAATAAGTCGAAAAGGTGTAAGGGATGGTGGAAGTGAACCATAACCAACACCATTCTACCCATGCCAATTAATGTTGCTGATAAATCTTTGTCGGAAGACGTGTTAGAAGTCTGAATATAATCACCACATCTCCAGCCATGGGTGTCGCTACTGACAATTCACCTGTCAGCCCACCGTACTCACAACCGGACACTTGGAGCCCCTACGCTTCTATTATTCAGTAATTTCCAGAGATCTTCAAGTCAGATATTTAACCATAGTGCAGGTATTTTACTGAATATGGCGGACGAAGTCTTTCATACTTGTGGTGCAACGCGCACTACCATCTCATCGTCCTGTGTTCTTTCTTAATTTCAAGAGTGTGAGGCTTCGATTAGTCGTGTTAAGGATCAATGATAATTTAAATAGGGTATTTAAAAGCCATCATATTACTTACTTTATACAAATTGCCAAAACGTTTAATTGAAACTGCCTGTCATCTTGTAAATATTGACTGTCAGCTCCTTATAACACACTGAATACAGTCAACTCAGTGTTACGAGCCTCCTTCTGTTAAGAATACCGCTAGTCTAATTAATACCATCTCATTTATTCAAATTCTACATATGTTTAATAGCTATCCGAAAAAGGCTTCTCATATATCCTGTTATCATCTTCCACTAGCTCCCAAACAAAAGAATGGAGTTAGTGCTATATTTAAAAGCAGGATTCTATATATGTAAGAAATCCAGCCTAGAGCTTGCGCAGCAGAAAAAGTGTGGTGTCACTCATATATAATATTTGTCCCTTATGATGCACTGTTATACTCAATTAAAGTTGAGTTTCACAGCTGTATAAGCCTTGAAGTATCTAAAATAGAAAACTGCCAGAAATTATACAATCACCTCAGCAGTGTAAATGTTGATACTTGTTCTTGGTTAACCTGTGTAAACAGGTGAAATTAATAAATGGGGTGGCTGTTAGAGCTGCATGGGCATTCATCTTTCCGTCTATTAGCTATTTGTCCCCCTCCTTTGCATGATGGAGGAAAGTATGCTATGTCGAAGTTTGATAAATAGTCACCCGTGAAAATCTGAATAAATTCCAGCAGGTCATTTCGATGGTATGCAGATATTTTAGTACAGATCCAATTATTTCATTTTTACTCACCCTTAAAAGCTGCAGGGTAAGTTGTTGGCTATAGGTTCTATATTTGAAAAACTAAACAGAAAGTCAGCACAAGGGTATCTGCTTCTATGAGGCTCTACCTTGGGACAAGCTATTGAAGGTAAACAAACTGGTACTTGTGATGCAAATCTACTTGTAGGGTTGAGTAACTGTAAAATCTGGGGATGTTTGAATGCTTGTGCACCTCAACATGGTCACATAGCAGTTGGTGGTAAGTGATCTCTCCTACTTGAAATGCACATTCTCGGAAATATTCTAACATACATTACTCATGTATTTCATTGTAATTGATACTTAGGTGTTCGACTTTGGTTAAAAAATCATTCCAATGAAAGCTATTGTTTTCGAATCTGTGTTTCCTCCATTATGACAGTTCCTGTTCACGTACAATATTGGTATACTGCTGTCTGGCTTAGCCAACAAATACCATGTGACATGTTTCATTATGATGACAAAAATATGTGACTCAAACAATTGGGTTACACATCACCATGGCATTCTCTGAGCATTTGCTCTTGTTAACTGGAAGTAGAGAGTTAGTCCAGCTTTCACGACACCCTTGCAATATTTCAAGATGTCTGATGGTTCTCTAAAGAAAGATGTCAGACAGAAATGCAAATTAATCGTGTTGAAAGAATCTAACACGAGTCGTTGATCTGAGAAATAAATTGGTAGTTTTCCAGGAAGATTAAATATCAATGTGATATCTTCACTGTATGGGATTCGATTTCTTTGGGGTGACCCAGTAACTTGCTCTTTAAAATTCTCCATTCAAACTGCTGGACAGTTTCAAGTAGGACTTTATTAATTTGGTTTTTAATGGAAGCAACCCAGATCTAGTAATCTCTTGGAAAAAAAAAATAAGGTGTCATACAACCTCTTCTCTACACAGATATCCAACAAAACTTGTAAAATTTAGTCAAGCAGTTTTCGCACCTTCTGTGTTGGTTCCTTTGGGTGATAATTCATGTCTTGAATTAATTGTAGTTTCTCTACCTCCTTTGAAACCATATATTGTTCTGTTTCTGTGAGACGGTCAACATCTTTTGACACGAGATTTTGACAGCTTATACTTTTTGACGAGGTGCATATTGACATGAACTGATGTGATCATGAAATGGTTTCTACAAGACCTTGACTCTTATAGACACTTATTCAGCAAGACTCTTTTGAAGTGCTTAACGCGTAGTGTGATTGCGGTTGGTTGGATTTGTTGTGCCCGTAGTCCATATAAAACGGGAAGACAATATGTGAAATCATCGTTGTTTAACTGATATACTCGCATTAACTTTTAAGGTCATATTTGAGACTAGGTCATTTTGTATAAGCGCGATGGTGGAGGTTTTATGGAGTTATGCCGCTTCTCTGTATTAAAAGTAAGTGTTGTATCCCAAATCATACACTCAAAACATATTCAAATAAAAAAGATTATTCTCTTAATTTTTACACATGTATATGGCTCTTTGGTTAATCGTCTGTATCACTTTGAAGTGAAAGTAATTACACAATTGTCTAATTAATAAAAGATACTATAACTCATTCAGAAATTGCATGTCCAGCATACATGATAAATCACAAACTTTATATTTTTCAAATAAATTGATCATCCATTCACCTGCAGTCATGTATACAACTTTAAATTACTCATTTTGTCCTATAATTCGTTTTTTAACACTGCACTGTCATTTCTGCAATTTCAAGGATGCATTTGCCATTCTACTTTTAGATTGTTGTTCACTTTAATATGCTAGTTTGACTGCGGTGTAAAGGTCAGAAGCTACATCAACCATTCGAGAGTTTTTTTCTATGTATATTGTGGGAAGAAAGAAATAATTTCATTTTATGTCAAGAAATCAGAATGGATACAGTTATTTTTAACTGATAAACACCTTTTGGCACCAAAAATCACCCTTTAACTATTTCGTTCGCCAGCAATACTTAACTTGAAATATATGCTGCTATTCAAATCAGTAACAGTTTGAATAAGATAAGACACTTTGACTAAAGTCCTTCCGTTACAGTTACAGTCTTTTTGTGATTCAGTGTGCATCAAGACATAATAAACGAAATATACCTGGTTAAATTTGCCGGGAATATCTGCATGGATTTGAGGTATAACTGTTTAAAATAGTGAAGTTGTGTCAAATTTCACATCTTACTATGATGTTTCATTCCCCAACATTACAAGATCTTCGGAGACTTTGGGTTTTCTGTGTCAGATGAATATCGTATAACTGTACCGTTGCCTCAGTGATGACTCCATTTAGAAATTGTTTCGACTTTCAGTTGTATTTCAAACTGGAAATTTTATTCTCACTAATTGTCAAGAAGTATATTTAAAGTTGAATTATTTAACTTTATCAGTTAACGTTTCCTTTTGAAAGCTAAGTGGTTTCAGATACATTAAACGGTTTTAATTCACTTTTTGGGTTTCGCATTACCGATAAACCCTGCATAGTGAAAATACTTTGCGAGTAGGAGGTCATTTCCGGCAAATCTCGCCAGAAAACTCCCAGCAAAATCCAAAAGGTTGTACTGATTATTGTCGGAAAGAAAATCTACCGACCAGGGTGCATGTGGCTTAAGAGGTTAAACTGGTCAACTTTTCACTAGTTTGGAGATGGCTGAATCACTCAGTTCAGCCCCTGATAGACAGCTAAACAGAAACGTGGGTATTACCGGTGTAGACTGAGAAGACGACACTGTTATTTTACCAGAAGACCTAATGACTACGGTTCAAACAAACCCCACAGTGGTACTAGGGAAGTTGCAGAGACTCACACTTGGAAAGTCCCCAGGTTGTGATAACAATAGGCTGTCTGTTCTGAAATAGTGGGTCCAGGGAAACTGTCAAGGGAGTGGAGAAGAGCTATCCTTTCTCCTATTTTCAAGTGTGGGTATAGGCAAAATGACACCAGTTACGGATCAGTAGCACTAATCCCAATGGTACTAAAAGTACTATGAAGTCTGATTGATAATCTCACCAGGCAACACCTCGACAGGACTAACATACTCCTTGAAGCACAACATGGTTTCAGGAGAAATAGATTCTGTGTGACAAACCTACCATCAGCTTGGAATTATTAGACACCATGCTGGGATATGAGTATTCCAGTCCATGTGATCTTTCTAGACTTTGAGACGACATTCCACACAGTTCACCACGACCTTCTGCTATACAAAATAACTCAGGCAGTTATGGGTGGGCCGCTTCTATCATGGTTGGAGGATTACCTAGACGAAAGGGAATTCTGCACCAAGGTCAGTAGCATCTGATCGTCCAGGCACAATTTGGCATCAGAAGTAAGGCAGGGTTCTGCCTTAGAGCCACTGATGTTTCTGATTTTTATCAGTGACTTGCCATGCTGTCTGAACTGCCCAGCTCTCCTATGCGCTGACGACGTGAAGATTTGCAGGGCAATAAAATGCTCAGAAGACTCTGATAGGCTATAGGCAGACCTGGAAATTCTGGAAGACAGGGAGATAGTCAACGCAATGACTTTCAACTTAAAAAAGTGCAAATTAGTGCAATTGCGCACCTTTAGGCTGAAAAATGTAAGTGACTCCCTGTGTAACGGTAACTTGTCCTGCACAACGTTACAGAGCGACTTAAGTCTAGTTCTAACAGAAAAAGTGGACAAAAAAGTTTGAGTTAAATGGGTGACGTAGAGAAGCATAAGCAGTAATACGCTTGAAACATATACAGTTAGGTGCGCTCACCCATGACCTTCTTTTAGGTTGAACAAAATATACGTAAAACTACACCTTGAAGTGCACAATATCATTAATTCGCCACCACTTAAAAGAGACGCTAACTTTTTGGAAAGAGTTCAAAGACGAGTGAAAAAAGGGCTGATGGGTCTCAGAAATAAACCAAATGATGAAAGACTGAACAAATTAAGTCTTTTAACACTTAGCTGCCGTCAGTTTAGAGGTCACATTTTTATTTATTTTATTATGGCCTGATTCCACACAGTATTTTGGTACGAGTATGTAATTTCCAGCATGTGTTGTTGGTAACCCAAATTTAACAGGCCGACCATTGATATCAGGTGTGCGTCGGCCGGCGATTGAACCCCGTACCATGTGCATGGTCGGCGAGCATCCTAACCGCTCTGCCACCGACGCACATAAGATTACAAATGACCAGAATCATCCAAACAAAGGTATTCTGCCATTAAGTACGTATGGACTTCCGTGGTAATCCATGAAGCATAGCCCACCAGAGACCAAAGACTCGAGTGCACTCCCACTTCTTTTGACTTTGATTTTACCGCCACTGGAACTCTCTACCGGTAAATGTGGCTACAGCACTGTCCGTGAAAAGCTTTAAGTGGGGACTGGACAGTCACTCTGTGACACAAGGACTGCGTCCAAATAACCTTTCCCCTTAATGCTTACACACTATTAATGGGTGTACACTTAAATTCATCTTTTTACTACTTCACATTCTCCCTTGTCTTACTCTTCTGACTACTCCATCTAATAATTCTCTTATATCATTATTGTTATAATTATTATTATTGGTATATATACATCAATTTCAAATTTCATTAGCTATGTTTTTACGTTTTCTTTTTTAAGTCTACATAATCTACACCAATTATATCTATTGTTATACTATTATTATCTCTGTCTTTGACCACACAGACGAATAATGGGTGAAAGAATTAACTCCATCCACATTAGCAACACAGTCTGAACACACCGTATACTGCAAACCACAGGTAGACAATCCCAGCACCACTCCGTTTGTAGTCAACCAAAGCTACAACATTTGAGTGGCAGAAGTTTACTGAGGACCCGGAACCTTTGCTTCACAACCAAGTGGTGGGATAGAAAAAGTCAATTTATTTTACAATAGCCAGTAAAAACGATACTGGATATTGGAACTTAAGAGCTATAAAGTGAACGATACATAGTTATCCATATTTTCTACAGCCTCTTATTTTCATTCTGATATAATTAGTTCATTCAAGCAGATGCTTTCAAAAACACGAATTCTGTGTGCCTACGAACTTAGATAAGCCAATATCTATAGAGAGAATAAAGCCAGTCGGTCTTGCAGGCCTAATTATCTGTGCAGAATGCAGTAACACTGACTCATGCCGTTGGCTGGAAAAAGTTATTTTATCCAAAATTTATTGAGGATACAAGTTTACTCCTAGAATTGTTACTCAGCGTTCTCATTGATTTTACCGTAGGCCACCGAAAAACAGAGTACAGGAGACGTTTTAAGTTTAAAATTCCAATATTTTCTATTTTCTGTGAAAGAGGGCTTTTAAACCACTTGTCTTAAATATATAAACTTATACTTTACAAGGTTTTCACCCTTGCTTCCCTTGTAGTACGGTATAATCAGTGTAGAAACTAATTGTTTTACAGAAAATCTCTATTCCACCCAGGAACAGTGAGCTTTTTAGAATTTGAGTACGCTAATTATATATGGTATTATGAGTGGGAATGTTTTATTTTTCGTATTTCGTATTTTCTAGTTATTGAAGCACGTCTGGAAAGTTCGGACTCGTCACTGAACACATATGTCAGCGTCAAGTTAAGGCAAGCTCATTCTTTAACTCAAACAGTGAAAGGAACTACACCGAAATGGAACGAAGAATTTACATTGTAAGTATTTTCGTATTAGTATTTCATGAACATGATGCTGCGTTATACGGGAGTATATTTATTTTTCGACTGGGTAGTACAGAGGTTCTTACTTAATGGTAAAATTTAGCATACACAAATGTTTTGTTTTTCCGTTTTAAAAGTCTAATTTATTTTCTCTTGAACTGGTTAATGAACTCGCCTGACCTTATGGATGTTATCGGTCGACAGCTGAAGCGATACTTACTTGAAAATTATATCTTTGTTATTCAAGTGTTAGTTTGTAGGGATTTAATTTGGTTACAGGATTTTCATCATGAGCTGACATTAGTTAGAGAACCATTGGAAAACCTGGGAGTACTGGACAGCTGTTTCGTCCTAATTGAATATCAATGAGATGCTCACTAGTGACTTGCCCTATTCAGGTAGGTAGTTGCTTGGGGTTCTAGTAAGAAGTCGTGACCAGTAGGGTGCAGCAGGTCGGGCGTGAGTACAAATACTCGCCGAAGACATTGGCTAGGGGTCGCGCTATGTTGTGAATTGGCAGAAGTTAGAATTCATGGACCATTGGATCGGGTCCCAGTGGCTTAATGGTATACGAGCTCACCTTGTAACCAGAAGGTCCTGGGTTCGAATCCCGGTGGGTGCGCACTGATGAAGAGTCCCAAACTAGGACGAAACAGGTGTCCAGTACTCCCAGGTTTTCCAATGGTTCTCTAACTAATGTCAGCTCATGATGAAAATCCTATTTCTTTGTTATTCTTCTATGTTAAGAGGTTAGGTTGAAGATAACTGGAGCTCATGGTAACTACTGCTTATATATATGTGTATACTTCTATTCAAGGAAACTCTGAGGAATCGTCTGTATACCCGAAAACACTGCCATTCTTTTAAGTAAAGATTTGGGAGCAATCTGTTTTACCGATTTCTAATAGCTGCTTCTACAAGCGTAGTCTGGGTGTTAGTGGAAAGAAAATCAATAGCAGCCTATTAGTCTCTCAAATACGGAACCTTCTTCTTCACAAATATGCCGAACAGTTTTAAGTAGATTATTTTTTTACTTCATGTGAATAACTATTGGAAGCATGACTGTTATACCCCTCAGTGTACCTCTGAAGTATGTAAGTGACAGATAGGTCATAAATGAAATGAAATATACTTACCTGACCGGCGTCTTTTTGCTTGATTATCAAGAATTATGTAGTCCTCGGTGAACTGGTCAGTCCGACCATCTGTATTTCGTGGAGTAATGGTTACTGATAAGTGCCAGGAATCCCTGATATTCTGCCTACTGGTGCTCATTAGCAAGGCGTGCCTGCAGCCTTGAAGGATATTTTGTCCATTCTGAGATTCCAACCGGCCGCTTTCAGAAGCGTTACCACTGGGCTATTTGGATTCACGATTCACCTCCTGTAGGACTGTAATGAACGCATTAGTTGGTGTATGTACGGTGTGAGCAGAGTCATGTGTCAAGTCTTTGGTGTTGGTACTGACCGAATTGTGTCCCATAAGGGACATCAGTCCAGGGGTTCCTGCTGATTTCCTTAAATCACCTAACCTCATTTCGAAGTACACCATGACAGCCAGTCACCTAACTTGGTAATAACGTTGACCACTTGACTGATGAGATTCAGTTAGAGCCGACACCAAGGACTGTACACGTGATACTGTTTACATTCTGGTGAGGTAAGCAGAAAACAGTTTTATAGTGAAGAGTAAACAAAATTGTTGACAGCATAGGGCGTCAAAATTTGGTGATTTGGAAACTACTTCGCTACTACGGGGTGCCACCGACAATAATACATCTCATCCAACAGCTATACGACAATGCTGCATGCCAAGTAATCCACAATGGGAAACTTACGGAACCCTTCGAAGTGAGGACAGGAGTAAGACAAGGCTGCCTATTATCACCAATGATTTTATTGATTGCAGTAGACTGTATAATGTGATAAACAGTGGGCAATGAGGAAACAGGCATAAAATGGACACACACAAAAAACCAACTTGGAGGATCTGGACTTCGCCGATGATATATGTCTGATTTCCCACAAACTGGAAGATATGCAAGCAAAAAGCAACAAGTTGGCAGAAGAAGCATCAAAGATAAGATTTCCTTCAGGTGAACATAGATAAAACAGAGGTGATGAAAATTCCTGGGCAACACCACCAACAGCAACAACAACAACTGACAACAATCAGCATAAATGGGAGGAACCTGAAAGAAACAACCTCCCTTACCTACCTAGCTAACTGGGAAGCATCGTTTCAACTATAGGCGGAAATGACGAGGATATCAAAGCAAGGATCGGAAAAGCAAGGCAAGCTTTCACTACTCTCAAGTCTGTGTGGAGGTCAACACTCGGTGCTCAGCATGAAAAAGAAGATCCGGATTTTCAACTCCAATGTGAAGTCAGTGCTACTATACGGATCAGAGACTTGCACTGCGCGTCATAAAGAGCATCTCAAACAAACTACAGACCTTCATTAACAGTTGTATTCGCTCAATACTCAAGATCATATGGGCAGAAAATATCAGCAACAGAGATCTCTGGCAATGAGCGAACCAACCAGGAACCGATTGTGAAACAAATAGGCAGGAAGAAATGGAGATGGATTGGCCATACTCTTAGGAAACCATCAAGTGACATCACTAGACAAGCCCTTGAGTGGAACCCGAATGGGAAGCGGCGAGTTGGTCGTCCAACGGCTGAAGCCCTATGTTCCTATAGGAATTAAAGGATACAATAATAATAATATACCTTTTCTGGTAAATTATTTTATATTTTCGTTTTTATGTATTTTTTTTACCTCAGCGAAACAGATCGTATGGATGGTGGCCTCCTGATAGAACTGCACTCCAAAGGTTTATTATGGGACAAACTGCTTGGAGTTGTGTGGCTACCTCTAAACAAAATACTGCATTCCAACAAGGTTAGTCGTCTTTTAGTTTTTAATTCGCAGCATCTGTTTGTTAATCAGTTAATTTGTCGTTCATTTAAACAAGTTAATTTTTGTTTAATAAGCCCATTGGATTATTAAAATGTATATAATATGGTTCAATCAGACGCGATGATTTGTCTCAGTGGAGTTACTTTTTGTTAGAAATTCACTTGTGAAATATTTGAATTTGTCACCGACACAACCCTTATGATCTACATCATTTATATATTTATCTTTGAGATAATGGGTGATGATTAAAATTTAAATGAAAACCCAGAGCGAAGCATGATTCGAACTAAAATCCCGCTATTTAATCACTTGAACTATGGCACCAAACTGCTAATTAGGTCATCGTTTCACTACAGTGGACAAGAGTTTAAAAATATCTGTTAGTTCAACTGTAGAGTTTGGGGTTAGTAACCCAGAGATCTCCGTCTCTTGCCCCCTGCAGCAACTCTGGTTTCAGTTTCATCTTCAGCGGTTATCATTCATTTTATTGATATATCATTATGGTTCCTTTGGGTTCCTAGTGGAACATAGGGCTTCAACTACTCGTCTCCACCTGTTTCTGTCTTCTGCTGTACTTTTCACCTGCATCCATCTTAGTCCATACTGTTTCAGCTCCTCTTCACACGATCTCTTCCATGTCACCCTTGCACCGACGTCCCAATCGCCGCTTCCCTTTCGGGTTCCACTCGAGCTATGGCCTGACGCGCGGTGTCACCCAGCGGCCTCCTCAGCTCAGCGAGTGTCCAATCCATCTCCACTTTCTCCTGCATATTTGTTGGGCGATTGGTTCTTGTTTTGTTTGTTCCCATAGTTTCTTGTTGGTGATTCTTTCCGGCCATCTAATCTTGAGTATAGAGCCAGCGAAGACAGCTGTTGATGAAGGTCTGCAACAGGCCTTCGGAAATATCCTTTGTGACACACTGGCCAAGTTTCTGATCCGTATAGAAGAACTGACTGACTTGACGCTTGTATTGAAAATCCGAATTTGTTGTTGATGGTGAGTTGAGTGACGAAGATTTCCAGATTGGTTTCAGGTTGATGAATGTGTTTCTCGCCTTCCCGATTCTCGCTCGATTTGACATCCTCGTCCGTTCCTCGTGTAGTTGAGACAATGCTCCCTAGATAAGTGAATGAAGTACCTTCTTTCTAATCCCTCCTGTTGATGGTGATTGGCCATTTTATTGATACCAGTCTCCTAATCCAATACCCCACCAGCTAATCAGTCTTTACTGGACTAAGCACACACTGTTGACTTTCGTGTTTATAGGTCGAAATAGCAATTTGTCTCAAGTCTAAAAAATGAATTCCTCATTTAAAAATCTTTGGTGTAGTATAATTAGTCTGGTTTCTCAGGTTCTACAAATGAATTGTTACCTTAGATAACGCAAACGCTTTATCTAAATTTATCAAGGGAACTAATTTTTATAAATTATCAGGTGTTGGTTTGCAGCCAGTTGATTGATTTTAATTTTGATCATGAAGTAACTTAAGTTAGAAAGCCATTGAAAACCAGGGTATATTGAACCGATGTTTCGTCTTAGTTGAGGACTTTTCAGTAGTAATTACTCGTGATCACCACCAATTTGGCTGTGGCGATAAATACTCTCCGATGACATTGGCTGGAGGTCTCGCTGTATATAGCGAATCGGTAGAAGTTAGCATCCATGGATCATTGGATTTCGTCCTAGTGGCTAAACAGTCCATGAACTAGCCTTGTAACCTGAAAGTCCTGGATTCGATCCCCGGCAGGGTGATAAGTGAGTACCGCTGCAGTGTCCCAAACAAGGAAGAAACAACTGTCCACTACTTCTCCCTGGTTTTCAGTGGTTCTCTAGCTGAAATCAATCCGTGATCAGAAGTGTATAAATTATCACTGATCGAAAAAGAGAGACATTAAGGACCACCTTAAGTATTGGTTATCACTAAATTTTCCAGTGGACATTCCCTTCTTTCCAAGTTTAGGTGGCTGAATGTAGTCTTGTCTTATCAAAGACTGTTAGTTTTAATCACCGATTTAAAGTCCAGATAGTTATTCACTAGTCTATTAGTTGTTGTTACGATTTAATATTTTAATTTATTGGTTTGTAGAGCATACTTAACTAGTTTTTGTAAGAGTATATACTCCTTCAATGAGTGATAGATATGTATTTCACTAATGTTCATTTTCTCCGCTAACTATCTTGTGTGTTTCAAAGTTTGCGTTGATGGTTCAGAGGCAGAACGCTCTCCAACCATCCGCGTAGTCCGAGTTTCGATCCTTGGCCGATGCACTCTTAAACCTCACTAAGTTGGTAGTAAGGCCTGTAAAGACAGAAGTTTGGACATGAGGCTATCAAACCCATCGCGTAAAAAAGAAAAGCGCCATTGCTACTGGAACTTCAAAGCTCTAGCCTGAAATCCTATGTTCCACTCGGAACATAAAGGAGTAAAATTAAAACAAATAAAGTTTGGAGAAAGTCAAGATGCCATATTATTATTTTATCTGTATACTGTAATACATTAAGATTTATTCTTCTACTTAAAATGTTTATGAATGGTGCGGAAATACATACAAGCTGTAATTATCATTATATCTCTTCTTCGGTTGGACCTCTTCAGTAGAAAAAGTGTTTTTTATAAACAGTTTAGAATGAGATAAGTTGTATTTACCTTCGAAACAATGGATTTAAGTCGTATCACATTAAATGTTATGTAGATACTACTTCTAGCCTACTACACCTCTGACCAGAAATCCATAGGATACCTCTTACATTTTCTCTCTTTCCATAACCAAAATATCATTGTTAGTAGAGCTTTGTTTACAGCAGACGAGATCCTTGTCACACATTCACCTATTTGTATCGCTGGCATGTAAATGATATCTGAAGAATTAAGAAAGTTGTGATGTGATGTGCTGTGTTAGATGTATTTCAAACGGAATACCTTCATAACACTTTGAATTTCGCTTAAAATTGGAGAATATCGTATGCTAGTAATCAAGATTTTAATTTCAGTAGATAAAATTATTTTCACCGTGAAGTATGTTTTTATCCGGTGTAATTTCACTGTAACATGTCAGCGTTAAACAAAATACAAGTACCTCGTTGGAATGACGGCATTATGTCCATAACGCATTTACTGATTAGCTTCTGAGCACCAGTTCAATATCTCTCATCTTTAGATCTGTAATCATTAACTTATCGGATCTATGAAGTGATTTACTGAGTGGTGATTAGCAGTGGAATCCCGGATGGGACTTGTCAAGTGGATGTACCTGCATTCTCCAACGAGTTATGCTGTTCCCACTGGGACTCGAACCCAGTACCCATCGTTTCAAATGCCAAAGCATTATCGACTAGACCAGTTGGGCCTTGACAGCCACCTCCTGTCCAACGGGCATCAGTTATTGTTTGTTTTTTAAATTCAACCTTTGGTTTTCCTGTTGACTGATTGCACCTAAATGTTTGGCCCTAGCTGACATGTCGACTCCTAGTACGGAGCATTTGACGACTGCTAGTCACCATCCAGCAAATTACTTCAAGTGAACTATCAGACATTGTCGAAGTGTCCGTACTGGAGACGAACATTTCGGTGCAATCAATCAATGCGAAAATCAGAACTGAATTATAAAACAAATCATCAGATGTTTACTTTGATTGGACACTAGTAACTAGTGTGATGTGTCTAGCTAGTCCTTTCTTTAGTGCAGACTGAATTCTATCAGTCAGGTATTTGCAATATGGCCATCATTCTAGGTAGCTCACCATCACTGTGCACATTGATTTGATGATATTAGATGGTTGGAGGCAATCAGCCACAGAAAGCCTTGCCTGACCTAGGTTTCATGCTAATTGGCACTCACCAGTCGGCAAGGAGTATCTGCAACCTTGAAGGAACTCATGTCCCTTCTTGGATTCGAACCTGTGTCACCCGGTGCTGCAGTATGTTAACTTAGACTGCCTCATTTAGTTCTTACAGTGAATTGCAACCCAACTGTTGACTGTTTAGTTTTGAGACAAGATATAGGATTACTTCTCAGTTAAAAGGAAATATTGGAGATATGGCTGGTAAAAAATGCCAACGAAAAAAGCATATATAAGGGAAACAAGCATATAAAATATGGAATAGTTTAATCTTTCTATGAAAATAGCATATGTTCCGATATCTAATCCCCCTAAATAATACTGTTTCACTCTGTGATATATCCTATAAACAAATTAATATCGAATTACATCCTACCACAGTCTTTATATATATATATGTATGCAAATAATCTTTAGCTGATATCCAAAATATCTTTTGAAAAAAACCAAAGATTTTATTTCATGACAAGATGTGGATGTATTATCATCGTTGTTGTTGTTGTTGTTGTTTGCAGTTAGTCTTAGTATGACGTATTAACATTTGGGATTTTTTCTTTGCCTGATATTTGAAACACAAAACTGAGAAACTCATTTCCACTTGCCCATAGTTTTTTAACAATTTCCTTTTAGAGAGGTGAATAAATTAATGCTGCCTATTTGTCTCTCTCTCCCTCTCCGTCTCTTAAACGTTTGAGACGTGACTGACTGCATTTAAGGCGTTGTTTATCAAAATTACTAGATATTAGATTCTGTCGTCTTCTGTTTTGTCGGTGGTTTATTGGTAGAATGCTCGCCAACCGCGCACCTGGTTCGTGAAACGATCTCTGGCAACCGACGCACCTCCTAATCTAGATTAGCCAGTTGTAAGTTCGGTAGAGGGAGAGGGTTGGGTGTGTGAGGCTAGCGACTAATTCTGCGAGAAAAACTAAACACCACTGCTTCTGAAGCTTCTAACCTTAAGCTTGAAGTCTTATGTTACACACAGAACGCAAATGATTGAAATAAAAGGAAAACGACCCTTACTAGAATGACCTTTTATTCATAATGTGGTATTGTCTGGTCTTAAATGCTTCCTAGCGGAACAGTGGACTTCATTCAGCAGCACACCTCCATTTTGTCCTGTACTTGGTAGTCCTCTTT